GCTTGCCGCATTCTGGGAACAGCATTTGGTTGGACGTGCTCCTTGCGCTCCACACCAAATGCACACAAATTTGCCTGTGTGTGTAGTGAGTTCCCACCAATGAACAGTCTTTCCTGTTTAGAGCAGGAGCCTTCTGTTTTTGTAAATTCACTCGGTGGCAGTGCATCAAAGTGTTGCAGAATTTGAGGTTTTGGTAAGAAACACACCGGACTGTTCTCTTAAGAGCCTGTGTTTGTAGCCTTTGTTGGTATTTGAAAAGGGATCAATGTATGTGTCGTTTTCCAAAGGTTTCAGCCAGAAATAATACCATCTGGAAGTACTAGTAGTTAATGAGAGGCCAGAATTTGGTGCATTTTTATAGGGTTCCAAAGGGGAATACTTCAAATGCAAGATTTGGGAAAGGCCCTGATCATACTGGCATCTCCTAAATTGGTTATGTCAGTCAGCTTTCTTGGCAAATGTGGTACCGGTAGGAGATGGGATCTCAGTTATGCCTCCTGCGCTAGTGGAGGACTACCATGGAGGACTGCATTACTTTATGTAATAGACCTAGAAAGCATATGGTTTAGATATTGAGTATGCCAGCTTGAAATCTTTGGTGTGGACATCCGAGTGGCAAATGATCTGTGTTAATGTACACATTGTAATCAGATTTGTCACGGTGTGGATAATGGCAGTACCGGCAACAAACTTCCATTGCTGTATTAATAGCAAAACCAGAACATCATTAAACAGTCACAGTAATTTAATGACATTGCCCAATCAGACTCATCAAACCACTGGCTGTACTTTCCATGGAACTGACAGACTGTGTGCATGCATGTACTGTGTATGTTGTGGCGCAGTCTGGATTTTAACAAGCAAAATGTAAGCGTTTACATTTGGATGCTTTATTAACCCTAACAGTCCTCAGTCCTCCACCTGTCCAAGGATTGAGGACTGTTAGGGTTAAAGTACATTCTATTGTGTTTTAGTGCTGGTGAATAACTTGTGCACAGTCAGTTGGATGTTGGTCAGCGCTTGATCAAAGTAATACATGTACATGGACATGCAACCAGTGTGTCCTAATATTAGCAGCATCATGAACAGTTTCAGCAAATGATAAGTGTGGTCTTCACGAATGCCTTTTGGGCCTGATGAGGTGTACATGTGTTAAACACAAGGATCACTGCCGTTGTTTTTTTTTATGAATTCAGACATTTTAACAAACAGGTACTTTTATAAAAGTAACATTGTTACTCACCCAGCATGTACATGTACATGAGGCATTGCCTCTGTTGTAATAATTTACTGTAACTTATTTACATTCAGAGAAGAGGGCGATTGTTAGAGGAGTTACAGATACAATATACATGTACATGTAAACGTTTCAGACTGTTCCTTGAGTTTATGATATTCAGCTGTGATAAATTCATGAATCACAGCACAGCAGACAGTGATTCCGCCAGGATCACACCAGGAATCTTTCTAATCGAATTACTAGCCGCATCAATGTTATAAGGTGTTGCTCTTTATAGCATTGACTGTTATAGATACGTGTATCATGCACTGTATCCATCATGGGCATTACATGAAAGCTGCCCATTATATGCCAACAGGTCAGCAGTGTCTATTGGACCGATAATCTCTAATGTCATGCTGGCTTCATTGTTTGGAATGTAAGGAGGAACATGAAACCCTTGGTAGCTGTTTGAGACCAGCTGGGCTCCAGTGCAGGGATCTTGCTGGGTGTGTCACTTCAGGGGCAGTCTCAGAAATGAGGTCTGCATGCAATTAAAGAAAAAAAGTGATCAATATTTTGTGGGTGTTTGCCTGGTACAAGCAAACAGAATGATCTTCTTTAAGAGAGACAAAACCTCCAGGGAACATGCATGTACTTGTACATGTACTGTAACCCTTGACTTGAGGATTTTGAAATTACTCAAACTCTTGGTTAGCATGCAAAATTGAAGAAATGCATAGACATATTCTGCTTGTTATCACACAGAGTACCATAACATATCTTACTGTAGGCCCTACATCTAACAGGTCTTTTCTATTAGGTGAAATCTACTTCCGCGTAGTGTTGTATAGACCTTACTCATCTGAACATGTTCATGTACATACGCGTAGTGCCACACATCATGCGCATTGCCAACTGAACACATATACATGTACACATATACATGTATACTGGGTACAGTATACTGCACTTAGTCACAAAATTGCTTAATGGTTGATGCATTTGCATTGTATTTGTGCACTTGCATACCGAAGCACCTGCAATACTTACTGTACTGTACATGTACCAGTACTATACCAGTGCTTTTGCACATTTGTTACATGCTATATACGTACTGGTAAGTGTCTAGAATGCTCTTTGAGAATGGTCTGTAAGCTACTACTACATGTACATTCTGTACATGTAGTGTACATTTCCATGTATTTATAGACTGTCAATTTGACCATAGAGAAAGGACAGGACATGTACCAGTCAATATGGACATGTATCAGTATTCAACATTCAGGACCTTTGCAACCTACACGTACATGTACATGTACCGGTACATGTAGATAAAGCTTCACTTGATCTTTGATTGAGCTAATGGTCTGGGAATGTCTGCATGTATGAGATACTGGACTTACTGATAGCAACATTGTTCATCCCTGTAGACTTTGAGGTCTGGTTCCAGCGGGATGGGTTCAAATGCGTCACGCAGTCTCACAGGCATCTTTAGTCTAGATTCCAGACTAGTTACCATTGAAGTCCCAGTGGTTGTGAAGTGTCAAAAACTGCGTCATTGGATGCAGGCAGAATCCAGACTACATGTACATGTAGGTGCTTTGGCTCCATGCCCAGGACTCTTTACTGCAACCTGACATTTTCAAATTCCATTTGCCAGAATTTGGACATGTACATCTTTCCAGTTACATGTACATGT